TGGGCAGAGACTAGGACTTGGACTAAGGTTATCACAACAGAGAGGTAATGAGCAAGGACGTCTTGGATTGCTACAGTTGTAGATACAAGAGGTTTGAACTAAGGAACTATCGACCAAGACATGCTAACTATATACAACTATTGAAATGGAGATTGAAACTGAGTTACAACTACTGACCAATCATAAAATAGAAAAGGGAATCGTACCATAGAATGTCGTAGAATATTAAAGAAGTATCACGTGACCATATCTTATCTTATCGTATCTTATCTAATCTAATCACAATCAAAGAACTTATCTTCTTCATCAGTCACATCGAAGACACGTGTCATGGGCGCTAATGGAATCTCTGAACTGGTAGATGCTTTCGGGGTAGGGTTAGGGTTTGTTTTGGGCGCTGTGTATTGGCGCTTAGGAAGATTTAAGAAAGAATAGTGATTTGTTAAAGGTACTCGTGACAAGGAGTAAAGGAAGCACCTCAGTATAAGATAGGAGACAAGGTCTGGCTTGACGCAAAAAATCTCAAACAATGTCATCCAAGTCAAAAACTGTCAGATTGTCGTCTAGGTCCCTTTGAAATACTAGAGAAGATTGGCGAAGTGAACTACAAGTTGAAATTACCGGAAAAATATCAGATTCACCTGGTTTTCCATGTAGAACTACTCACCCCACATCACGCATCTCGATTAATTCCTCATCCGCCTCCAAACCAACCATCTCCAGAACTGATTGACAATCAGGAAGAATTTGCTGTAGAAGAAGTACTAGATAGCCAATTGTTCCGAGGAAAGCTGCAATACCTAGTAAAATGGGAAGGATATCCGAAAGAAGAGTCATCTTGGAAGCCAGAAGAAAACCTAAAGAACGCTCCAATTCCTTTAGCGGAGTTCCACAAGAAAAATCCCATGGCTGCAGCCGGAAAATACCAAAGAATCAAAGGCTCAGTACTGTTTACAGAAGATTTTAAACGATGGAGAGAAAAGAATATCCGACCTTCATTCGTTCGTGATGACACTCACCTTAGAGAGGGGGTAATGTCACGAGTACCTTTAACGAACCATTATTCTTTCCTAAATCTTCCTAAGTGTCAATACACAGTGCCTAAGTCAAACCATAACCCTACCCTAAAAGTGTCTATCATTCCCGAAATACCTTTAGCGCCCATGACACGTTGTCCTGCATGATGTGGGAATCATGCATGGACATGAATACTAGGTGACCCTCAAAAGACAAAGTCTGTTAGCTTAGTCCTCAGACTAGTCAACCCATACCTTGGTTTCAAACCATGGTTCATATTTCCAGTTTTCCCCAAGTTTCATGATCTGAATACGTTTTGACGGAAAAAGTCTAATGTGAGATGGGAATCACATTTAGACCTAGTTGATGTGAGAAGAGAAATGAAGGTTAAGGTATAGCCTTGCCTTTGGCTTATTCACTTTGGCTAGAGAAAACCATAGAGAAAAGTACAAAGCCTATAAAAAACCTATCCAAAAAGACCGTGTTTCAATTCCTGCCAACTGTATTATTTTGACTGTGTTTCAATTCCTGCCAACTGTCTTATTTTTGCTACCTACTTTTCTCTAGTGTTTCTTTACTTTACTTTTTCATTAGGATGCTTTGACTCACCTGACACTTCATAAAATTGTACCCATAGGGTATGATGTCATTATGATGTCATAAGACTCCACAGATACTCCTGCAGGTATTCTGTTGAAAGACATTATGTCATCAAGCTCTAGATTATTCTACTCTACAATGACATCATTCATGATGTCATTTCCTTCTAGAATATTCTGCTCCACAATGACTCACTCTGACTCACTCAAGGAAGGTTCTGGAATCTTTTGCTCCACAATGATGTCACTCTTGATGTCATTATGATGTCATTACTCCACATTCCAGAATGTTCTGCTCCACAATGATGTCATAGCTTCATCTTTCACTTGTATTTTATTCTTTTATTGGGTTTGACCCAATATTTTGATTGGTCCTCCTTATTTTTTATTGTTTGTGAACCTAGGTTACTTTCCCACACAAAATGTATATAAGGAGAGCCCATTCTCCCTCGAAAAAAATATGATCTCCCATTTGTAGCAATCTGCCTATCAGATATTTCACTTGCAAAGTTAGTCCCTTTGAAGTGAGACAAGTGCAGGGAAAAGAATTCCCTTGAGATTATAAGTTTCTTACCTTAGAAACTTATTAGTGCTATAGACCAAGCGTTCTTGGTCATATATATTGTCTTTGAGACCCCTTTGTCTCATTGCTCTGTGCCCTTTGACTAAGCGATCTTAGTCATCTATCATATTGTTGAGACCACGTCTCACTAGTTGTCCCATAGACCAAGCGATCTTGGTCAAGTTATAGTCCCCTTTGTTCAAGCGATCTTGAACATATATCGTATATTTGAGACCATTGTCTCACAGTCAGGTGTCCATAGACCAAGTGATCTTGGTCATATTTTGTATATTTGAGACCACGTCTTGTTACAATAACATTTACTCCTATTTCATTTTTCTTTTTCTCGTAACCATGCTGCCGATTCTAGACTCATCTAGACTCGGCTATTCTCTTATCAAGCGGGCTGTCCGCACTTCTCTTCTTTCTTGATTGTAACATAGATACTATCTTGCGCCGCATGGCGGTTTCACCTATCTTTGCTATCTTGATAGGTTGTACTCTTTTCCTATCTCTGTTACTTTTCTTGTCGCGGCTATGCCGCTTCCTTTTACCTATATAAACCCCATGTACCATAGATGTATTCCTTAACTTAATCTACTGGGTTTTCCCTTTGAAACCTGATCTACTAAGGTCTCCACCCTTAGTAGCCTGAACTCTGATTCTAAGGCAGTCACTCACTGTCTTAGCCTGAAACCCTTGATTGCGGTAGAAGTGCTAAAACCACTCACCGCCTAGGCAGAAGTGCTAAAACCACTCGCCGCTGATCCTGCATAGAAGCCGCGGCTCGTGCAGTAGGAACCACCAGAAACCTTCCTTGTATTAGGAAGGCCGACGAACTGTTTGCCCGACAGGTCTATCTTGACCGGCAACAGCAGAACTATCCCAGTCGTAACATGTCTCACTAGTTCCAGTATCCAAGTCCAGAGCCTAGAAGGAGATTTCCTAGGCAAATATGTTCCAGAAACCGAATTACGTGTCTAGAAGCTTATTCCTAGACAAGAGATTTGAGTTTCAATAAAGAAAAGTAAAGCTCTGGCTAGGTTGATCTTTATAAAAAGATTAGTTTAGCGAGCCTCCCAAAAACTCACACATTATCTACCATGAAATAGGAAAAGTCGTAGACCATGTTAATCGAGGACTGGCAAGCAGTCTTATCCAAAGTGTAATTGTGGTGTCATTACATTTACACGACTTTATATAAGACCCTTGGTTATTAAGACAACATGTCTTCGATGTGACTGATGAAGAAGACGAGTTCTTTGATTGTGAATAGATTAGATTAGATATGATAAGATAAGATATGGTCACGTGATGCTTCTTTAATATTCTATGATGTTCTATGGTATGATTCCCTTTTCCTTTTTATGATTGGCTAGTAGTTGTATCTCAGTTTCAATCTCAGGTAGCATGTCTTGGTCGATAGTTCCTTAGTTCAAACCTCTTGTATCTACACTGTAGCAATCCAAGACATACTTGCTCATTCTCTTCTCTGTTGTGATAACCTTAGTCTGAGTCCTAGTCTCTGCCCAACGTTAATTCGTTATTGGGTTGTAACACCCTTTCCACCTCACTGCAGCTTTACCACTGCACCACAATAGGTCCCCCCATGTATCTAAGTAGTAGTTCAGTATATATATGTATCACATAATATAATAGACCACTTTTTTTGCTCATTTGTATGCCTGCTCCTCCTCCAGGGGCAATTCAATATATGGTAGGATATAAAACACTTTCGCACTTTTGCCCCTTTGGCAGGGAAGTATCCTGGAGCATTCAGAACATGTTTAGTAGTATATATGAATATATTACCATCTTTATTTGACCCCCTGAAGCGCCCTATATCAACACATACAATATATGTACAGAAAACACAAAATAGGTTCGCATTTTTTGGTTTCTGGCCATATGAGCTTGCAAAAATTGTCCCCAACATCTGTTCAACAGTAGGAATAATGTATCAGGAGCTCAAGACCACAGAGAAAGATCTTTTTGTGTAGTGCATTCACTCTCTCCTGGTGGTATACCTCCTGTGAGAATTTTTCCTCTGTAGGACTGGACCTTAATTGAAGCAGGGAGTTTATTTCTATGTATATTTGGGGTATATTCATCATATAGCTAGCCCAGGACACACATAGGATCTCTCTACAGGAACAAAAACATCAAACATCGCATTTTTGACATTTTTGATAGGGGGTCAAATAAAGATGGTAATATATTCATATATACTACTAAACATGTTATGAATGCTCCAGGATACTTCCCTGCCAAAGGGGCAAAAGTGCGAAAGTGTTTTATATCCTACCATATGTTGAATTGCCCCTGGAGGAGGAGCAGGCATACAAATGAGCAAAAAAGTGGTCTATTATATTATGTGATACATATATATACTGAACTACTACTTAGATACATGGGGGGACCTATTGTGGTGCAGTGGTAAAGCTGCAGTGAGGTGGGAAGGGTGTGGGAATAATTGATATTGTGGAGAATACCAAAATGGGCAATGTTTTGGGTGTTGTGGGGTAATTCCCACACTGTGGGGCCAAAAATGCAGTGTAGTATTATTGTGGGAAGTCCTGACATGAGGAATTGAGCCAGAATGAGCAGAAACATACCAAATTGAGCTGTCTGGCAAATTATCCATTGTGGGAGTGGTAATGGATAATCTGTCAAGCATCAGCAATCCATGACAAGGAAGGATAACCAGTGGTCTCTAATGAGACTTGGTTATCCATAATACTGCCAGGAGCAGGTGCTCATCTAATCCATTCTCTATCGCAGTCTGACGCAACACATCATCCATTCCTCCGTAAACCACCAATATGGTCATACCTCCCGCCCCCCGCCCGGTAGCAGTTACACGTCAACCCTCGCAACCCATCTTCCTTGGCTTTTTGCGCAAATTCCTCCTTTCCTCTCGTATGGACACAGTTTGTCCTATTCGGATAAATGAACCCCATAATCCCTTGGATGTATGTTTCTTTCATCTGTATTATTCACAGTTGACTTGATGGTTTCCTTGCAGTTCCCCGCTACAGGACCCTTGCCTCGCTCAATTGTAGATCACCACGACAATGTGAGCGAGGACCGCCATCATCACATATTCTACTTACAATTGTTTTTTAGTTTCTCCCACCCACCATTCAATCCTCTTCCCCTACTTCCACATCCATCAAATCCCTCCTACGCAGCCTGTCAACCTGGCGGCCCCTTCAGACAGGTCATGGATTGCCGGCTATCGTCGATACTCCTCTTGCACATGGTGTAGAGATATGCACAGCCCTTTTCTCTTGCTTCTCACTGCTCATACATCAATTTTTAGCAGAACGTTGCAGCAGGTGGTACACACCACAAAGATGATGAATGGATAACTGAGGAAGAGTATGTCTCTTCTCATCCTCCGCATAATCCAGATTCACAACAGCAGACAACAGCAGGGCAGAAAAAGATTGATTCAGGAGAGCATGGAAGCAATCGGTTTTGTTTTTGCTTTTAGGTTGACTTGGTGAACGGTACTGTGACGAGTCCATCGTCAACATCTCACTAATTAGAACTTGTTTGTATGCATAGTGTATCTTTACACATTGAATATCACAGTGTATCAGTGTATTTCTGTTTGCTGGTAATCTAGTACCAGAACTACACGGGACACGGCGCTACAAGTTGCCATCAACAGTATGTGTGACATCTATCTTCATTTAGCATGTATCTATGATTTCCCAAACTAATTCTGGCAACACTTTATTTCATGATTATTCTACTGTTTTTTTTTGTGCCAGACTCCGTGCGAACCCTGCTCGATGATACCCTACAAGCCTGGGGTGAGGAGCCAAACCAACCAGCACAATCTCAGGATGCGGAAGAGACAAACCTCGTGATCAGTGAAATGCTGCAAGTCACCATTGATAGTATGTGCCATCTACCTTCGCTCAGTACATGGTATCTATGATTTCCAGTGACAGTTTCTGTGTCAGGCCCACTTGATGATGCACTTCCAGCCTTGGCTGACGAATCTAGCTGCCCAGAACATGCATAGGATGCAGGAGAAAAAGACATCAATGGAGTCTAACAAATCATTATTACTGGTATGTGATATCAATCTTCGTTCAGCATGATTTACAAGACATTCATGCAACTAATCTTATTCTTGTTTCCGACAGATCCCCCCTGGCTTCCATGTGGTAATACAGACCGATGGTGTTAAATGCTGGACGAGCAACAAACCTGTACATGTAGATCAGGCTGTCATTGAATGAAACGAGTCCATACTTCTTTCAGTTGTCCTTGACGTTATCTTTCCTGCAGGCATTGAGAAAGATTCTAGGCTGTGCAAGACATCTTCTAAAGTTTGGGTTAGCATGTGTGCGTCATTTGAATTGGGTCCCATGCTGTGTCATGGAGAACTCCAATCGAGAGTACTACATGCATTGCAGGAGAATACTTGGCTTCATTTTGCATGTCATAGGACACAGCAATATGACGAACCTTTCAATTTTGCTTGTCTCATGCGTGATCGACTACTTTCCACCCTCGATATCACCCACATGGATCTTTCTCGGCATCTATTTGCACTTCTTTCTGCCTGTGAAACCGCAGTCTGTGACTTTGGCACACCTGACAAAATGATACATCTAGCAGCTGGCCTGCAATTCCACAGGGTCAATGGTATCATCAGGACATTATGGAAGGTTGACGATAGTACTTTGCAGGGCTTAGTTGAGGTATTCTACAAAAACTTGTGTGAGGATGGCACAATGAGATCCAAACGAGCTTCCTGAGTGTTGCACCGAGCGGTCCACTTGTTGGCTTGCAATCAGGACATGCCCTTAGACTGACACATAGTGTTCATGCATATCAGTATATAATCAATTTTGTGTGTACTTTTTGCTTGTTGATTAATGTGTTGATCTGACGAAGCATTCAGCCATGGTTACTAATACACATCTCCATCTTTCAGACTTTGGGACTGCATACCACCTGCCCTGTGCACCCAATGCAGACTCCTATTTAGTGATGTGCCAGGCCTGGCTTGGCCTGAAAGCCCCGGCTTTGGCTTGGCCTGGGGCGGCTTGGGCTTTCGAAAATGCCAGGCCGAAGCCGTGAGCCAAAGCCAGGCCAAGCCGTGGCTCAGCTTGGGCCCAGTCACGGCTTTGGAAGTCAAATAGATCAATATTCAATATATTATACTATCTACTAGGTCTTAGTCCATCGATTCATCATCCTCATCATCTAAGATCAGCGCATCCCAACCCTCCTCGTCATCATCTCCAACCTCACCAGTCTCTGCATCATTTTCAGAGTCATCAGCTTCAACCTCCATAAGAGATGATGGACCAGCCTTGCAGGAATAGAATGTTGTGACGTAGAAGGCATTTCATGCATTGTAATGCTTCAACAACATCATCTTTAAGTCGATTACACCGCTTACTAATTGTAATACCTTCTTGCAAGAATGCTCGTTCACTCAAGACCGACAAAGTCATGATTGACAAATAGTCCCTGGCAAGCGAGGCCCAGATTGGATATCGCTCAGCATTAATCTAAATAAAAATGACCGTCAGTGATTGTCATTTAATCCAATCAAAGCTACTTACCCCCCACCATTGTATGGTGCTCATCCCGGCTGGTAGAGCTGCTTCGATAGTCTCGATATACCCCAAAAACTCGACCCTCCATGGTTTCAATGGGTCAGCAGTAGATTCGCCTATATCTGCCTCTCTGTCATCCTCAGAATCACTTTGAACTTGTCGGATAAGCTTCTTGAGGCCGCCGACCTTGCTTTTGCTAGTTGTAAGCGGAGGTGACAAGATATTTCAATTCAACTCAGAATAGTGCACCTTGAACTTCAGGATTGTTAGGCTAAGAAAGTAATTAGTATACAGTGAATGACGTACCACTTTCTCTGCACATGCAAGGACATCATCGAGCAAACTCAATGGCCAATGCTTTTTGAAGTATGCCATTTTTATTGTCGGATCCAGTACTACACTTGCAAATGTCAGAGCGAGCCAACCAACAAAAACATATAATAACAAACACATGGCAACTATATAAGCTGGAGTGTCTGTCGTCCTGTCATAGTACTCGTCTAACTTGTTGGACGCTGCCTTGAGTGCATCAGCAAATCAACTATATTTAGATCTTTCCGCTCGTGACGTCCATGATCTGTAAAGAGTCTCCAGTGCTGGAATAGCAAGATGGAGGGTTGATCCGTGATCTGAAGAGAAGGCTTGCTGAGCAACATCAGCATACTAAGAGAAACAGGTTAGGCCGACAATCAAAAATCAATTGAACTGAACGCACCGAAAGGAGGTCTGTAAATTGCCCCGCTCGTGTCCATTCCACAGGTGACAGTTGCATATGATCAATTTTGGAGTGTTTGGTTAGATTATGTTCTTGGCAACCCATCTCATAGATGTTACAAGAACACCTAGACGCTTGGGCCCCTACTATTTTTCTCCTAATCCTCCTCGTATCAGCCCTCGCATCATACCCTTACCCCGACCTTACCCTTGTCATCCTTGTCATCCTCGCATTCCCGTTCGCCCTCTACCTGTCGCTTCAGCAGAGCCAGTACATCTGGCCGGACCCTTTCGCTGACGAAGCATACCCATGCTCCGCTTCACCACCTGACTGATCCTGTGGATAGTCCCCTTGCCCTTACCGTCTGGACGGTAACCTATGACATGATGCACAACGCATCCCCTTTACCCTATTCCCTTTCTTGATCTCTGACTCGGTGCGCAGTCGCACATGCGACTTATACTTAGATCCGCAGCTGCACGATCGTGCCTCTGCGCGTTTCACTTCTTATTTCGATCTTTAAAACTCACTTTCTTATCAAGCACGTTCTACCTCGACCGAACGTGCCTTCCTGTTATAGTTATACCCTTTACCGATTGCCTCTCCCGGTAGTACAAGTTATCACCCACTAATACGTCTCCTGTCCTCTATATAAACTCGCTACCATGTACTATATTCCCTAACTTGAATCTACTTGGTTCTTGACCTCCTACTCTCACCAGAGTGATCCTTCTGCCTCGCCAGCAGTCTATATTCTATCTTCTTATCTGCTCTTCGCGGATAAGCCTATAGTCTCGACCTTTACTCATCGACTTCGTCGACGAGCAAAGCCCCTGTTGACTAGTTGGACTTCTGTCCTTCTAATTAACGACGATCCTTACGATTAACCTTCGGGTGTCGTAAGCCTAGGCCGATATAGCTTATCGTTGTCCTGCATGATGTGGGAATCATGCATGGACATGAATACTAGGTGACCCTCAAAAGATAAAGTCTGTTAGCTTAGTCCTCAGACTAGTCAACCCATACCTTGGTTTCAAACCATGGTCCATATTTCCAGCTTTCCCCAAGTTTCATGATCTGAATACGTTTTTGATGGAAAAAGTCTAATGTGAGATGGGAATCACATTTAGACCTAGTTGATGTGAGAAGGGAAATGAAGGTTAAGGTATAGCCTTGCCTTTGGCTTATTCACTTTGGCTAGAGAAAACCATAGAGAAAAGTACAAAGCCAATAAAAAACCTATCCAAAAAGACCGTGTTTCAATTCCTGCCAACTGTCTTATTTTTGCTACCTACTTTTCTCTAGTGTTTCTTTACTTTACTTTTTCATTAGGATGCTTTGACTCACCTGACACTTCATAAAATTGTACCCATAGGGTATGATGTCATTATGATGTCATAAGACTCCACAGATACTCCTGCAGGTATTCTGTTGAAAGATATTATGTCATCAAGCTCTAGATTATTCTACTCTACAATGACATCATTCATGATGTCATTTCCTTCTAGAATATTCTGCTCCACAATGACTCACTCTGACTCACTCATGGAAGGTTCTGGAATCTTTTGCTCCACAATGATGTCACTCTTGATGTCATTATGATGTCATTACTCCACATTCCAGAATGTTCTGCTCCACAATGATGTCATAGCTCCATCTTTCACTTGTATTTTATTCTTTTATTGGGTTTGACCCAATATTTTGATTGGTCCTCCTTATTTTTTATTGTTTGTGAACCTAGGTTACTTTCCCACACAAAATGTATATAAGGAGAGCCCATTCTCCCCCAAAAAAATATGATCTCCCATTTGTAGCAATCTGCCTCTCAGATATTTCACTTGCAAAGTTAGTCCCTTTGAAGTGAGACAAGTGCAGGGAAAAGAATTCCCTTGAGATTATAAGTTTCTTACCTTAGAAACTTATTTAGTGCTATAGACCAAGTGTTCTTGGTCACATATATTGTCTTTGAGACCCCTTTGTCTCATTGCTCTGTGCCCTTTGACTAAGCGATCTTAGTCATCTATCATATTGTTGAGACCACGTCTCACTAGTTGTCCCATAGACCAAGCGATCTTGGTCAAGTTATAGTCCCCTTTGTTCAAGCGATCTTGAACATATATCGTATATTTGAGACCATTGTCTCACAGTCAGGTGTCCATAGACCAAGCGATCTTGGTCATATTTCATATATTTGAGACCACGTCTCACTAGTTCCAGTATCCAAGTCCAGAGCCTAGAAGGAGATTTCCTAGGCAAATACATTCCAGAAACCGAATTACGTGTCTAGAAGCTTATTCCTAGACAAGATATTTGAGTTTCAATAAAGAAAAGTAAAGCTCCGGCTAGGTTGATCTTGACAAAGATTAGTTTAGCGAGCCTCCCAAGAACTCACACGTTATCTACCACGAAATAGGAAAAAGTCATAGACTGTGTTAATTGAGGACTGGCAAGCAGTCTTATCCAAAGTGTAATTGTGGTGTCATTACATTTACACGACTTTATATAAGACCCTCGGTTATTAAGACATCGTCTCGCACCCGCGTGACATAAGCTACCCGATTTGGACATAGGCGTCAAATCGTACTTGCCGAAGACACGCCAAGTACGACCCCTAACCTTGGGCTAGCCCAAGGACGTCCTCGACCGTTGACGACACACGCTCTGTTTGAGCGTCGCCAACAGATACCATCCAAGTCGTAACAATAGACAAATGTGTCGACGTGCTATGATGTGCAACTAAAAACAAAAACTTGGGATGAAATAACGAGAAAAACACACCCTCTTGTTGCTTTCCACACGATTGAGCATTACATATGTCAAGGACCAGCAAACTTTCATGTCGAGTAGCAGCTGTGTTGGTGAAGACACACCAGCCTTGGTTTGAATGGCCTTGTATAACTCTTTCCGCTTGGCAGATGAACGTTCCTGAATGTGGAAATTTGTCAACAATATCAAGGATGAGATGGCCATAGTACCTTGATGCAAATACTGCGGATGAGGCCAACCTCATCCCGATCATTCTGAGATGTGTCCGGTTCGTGTGCGTGTGGATCATGAGGACTATAGTGGGGCGCTTTGCTGTATGTACTTATGAGGGTCTGTGTTCTGAGATTAATGACATGCGCTAGGCAACTATCAAGATAGTCAATGATTCCGCTACTAAAATTAAATGTAAATAGACGTACTTTATCTTGTGCGACTGCCATGGGAATTCCTTCCTGTACCTCGTCTCATACAGCTGCGAAAACTCTTGTAGCATAGTGCTATTGTTGCTCGCATTGTCACATGTAACATGCCCAAGCTTATGAGCAATACCAACACGATCCAGTACCTTGAATAAGGCACCGCCCAAGCACTTGCCATTGTGCGCATTATTCAGCTGTGTTACGACTTGGATAGTTCTTCTGTCAATGGTCAAGATAGACCAGTTGAGTTGACAGTTCTTCAATCCTCCTAGTACAAGGAGGGTTCTGGTTCAAGGGTCTTCACTAGACGAGCGTGGCAGCTTCTATCTAGGATCAGCGGTGAGTGGTTTTAGCACTTCTGCCTATCAAGGGTTCAGGCTAAGACAGTGAGTGACTGTCTTAGAATCAGGTATCAGGCTACAAGGGTGGAGACCTTGTAGATCAGGATTCAAGGGGAAAACCCAGTAGATTAAGTTAAGGAATACTACTGTTGTACATGGGGTTTATATAGTAGAAAAGGAGCGGCGCAGCCACATCAAGAAAGGTAACAAAGATAGGAAAAATAGTACAACCTATCATGATAGCAAAGATAGGTGAAACAACCATGCGGCGCATGATAGTAGCTATGTTACAATCAAGAAGAGAAGAGTGCAGACAGCCCGCTTGATAAGAGAATAGCTGAGTCTAGGTGAGTCTAGAGTCGGCGCTATGGTTACAAAAAGGAAAAATAAGTAGGGTTAAATGTTATTGTAACAAGCTGCGTGAAACCAAGCAGTGCACTTTGAGACTCCCACTGCATCGGATGGTTTTCTTCAATCCAGTGGCCCATGACAGCAAAGTACCCATTCACATTCTCAGCTTGCCATGTGTCACATGTTACATTGACGGCACCACTGACAGAGTCACTCTATAACATATATTAGAAACGGACAAGTGCTGAAAGAGATGGTACATACATTGAGTTTTGCTTTCAGCCAGGGTTAAATGAGTCTTGAAAATCCGCATGATCTCAGCGTGTGTGGCTTTACGACCCGGGATTTCGACACCTTGCATTGCACGAGAGGCTACATCAATCATCTCCTTGAACTTTGGATGTTCAAGGGCCTGTATAGGCTGCCATTACATTGTTAGGATGTAGCTTGATGATGATTACTGGACTGACCTGGTCTGTTGCGACTAGCCACTCGATAGCTGCCTTTTTAAAAAGCTTATCAGTGTATGGGATCATGCGCTCTGAAAGCTTGCGTTCCATCAGATGTGCATTGATAGTTTGCTGGGCTTGGGCAGTTTTCTCTTTCTCAGCTTTGATGTCGCCAGGGCAATTTGGAGATGAAGGTATTGGTCTTAGCCCATAGCCAATATTTTCCCTACAGATGTACATGATTAGTATTCCTGCAAGCCACTGCAATACTGATAGAAACTTGCCGCAAATTTGGCTTCTGCGTGTCGGTGCAGTGTGGTCGTCTCATTGACGATAATGCACTGACCCCTAGTAGTGTGATAATAATGAATCATTAGGACTGTACAGAATGAAATGATTGAAAACTCACAGGCAGACCTTGCATTTACGATGTTTTTTGACTGTTCCATTGGTGCCAGCACGCTCAAATGGGTTACCAAAAAATTGATCGATGTCGCGAGTCTTGTCTTCGCATGAGGGACCAGCATCGGTGACAGACTGCACGTCGATGTCGGTGAGAATTCCATCGTCATCAACTTCTTCAGCATGGTCTATTGCAGGGGCTTGTTTTCGACGGACTCGTTTGGCTGTTGCTTCCATGTGAGCAACATCACATCTTATAATGTTGGTAGACTCACGTTTAGGGTTCATCCATGCATTTTCGCGCTCACCATCCTCGGAATCTGCATCATCAAAATTATCATCCTCAACTCGTGCTCTTTTGCTGTTGTCAGGCATAGGTGCAGGTAGAACAATGTCAGGAGGAGCATTTTGCGAGGTGTGGGTGGTGTCTTCGGCAGGTCCGCTTTGCAGCCTCTGCAGCACGAAAGTCATTGATAGCTTTCATTTGGGATGGGAGGGCTGCTTTTTCTGAATGCTGTAGAAGTGCTGCTGTAGGTTTAGTTTTGCGTACTGGCCGCACCACACGAGGCTCGTCATCACTGTCTGTGTGAATTGCTCCGGTCATCAGGATTCAGAGGGCCAGATGGTATCAGGTGGGAAGACATACCAGGGCCACTACTACTACTAGCATAGTTTCAAACATCCTGTCACGGCCAGTCATTGGCCTATCAAAGGCTACAACATATGAGAGCCTGGCAAAGGAAAGTAAAGCACTGAAAATAGTAATGTTGGGCGACTCACCAGTTGTTTGAACATAACTTGTGTTATGATTGTCGTTGTCGAAGCCGGAAAAGATAACAGCGGAGACAAAAATAAACCTACATAGATACATAGAAGATCAAATCTGCGGAGTCACAAAGCCATGGCCTGGGCTGCCGGCTTGGGCTTTCAAGCAACTCAGGCCCCAAAAGCTGTGTCAGGCTGTGAATTTGGCCCGGCTTGGCTTGGCCCGGACCACGGCCTGAAGCCGGGCCATGCACATCACTACTCCTATTTGTATTCCCAATCTGTTGCCTCGAACCAGATGTGAACCATTTTGTGCTCCAAGGGTAAGAGTGAAGTCCAATGTTGTGAGATTGGTTTGAACATGAGTCGCTGCCTTCTGCACTACTGAAGTCGAGGTTTCGAAATTCTGATGTCTTCAATGCAGTGTCGCCAGTGTTATTATCAACATCTAGGACAAGAGGACAATGACTTCTACGCTGGTGGGAAAGGGATCACGTAGATACCTTGTTTCCTGCTCTTGCCCTATCGTGAAGTGCAACAGTAAGCACGTTAGATTTAATGTCTTGATTACAACCTGTGCTCAAGGATTGACTGACTTGACTTGACTGATTTTGAAATACGAAAGTATATTGCAGAGCCATCGATCGTTTTTTGCGGGATCCCTTTGTTGCAGTGGATGCAGACGCAGGTGATTATGAGATGGAGGATACGATGGTTGATAATTTTCAATTTGGTGGTGATTGTGAGCGTGTATTGTGTCGATGCGAACTCTTGACCTGATGTTTTAGTGCAGGTTTCATGCAGGTTATCGTGAATGATAGGTTCCTTCCTATTAGCTCAAGCATGGTGCATTACATACATGTTTGACGTATCAAAATTTGTTCCTGAATTTATTTGACAGAGTTGTACTAAGTACTTGGAGAATGCAGTCATCTGGGTGGGTATGGTGAGCGCATGATGTATTGGCCCAGTCACTGCAACTACACGAGGCATACACTGTTGAGCCGAAAATCTGGAGCAGGTATTCGTCATCTGATAGAATGATCAGATTTCTACAGCGCCCACAATGTTGTATTCTCACATGTTGCTGTGAAGAGACAAGTAAGTTTGAGAGTGATGATAAAAAAAGAACATGCTGTATAACGTATAGCCACGAAGAAGGGGGATATATAAGTAGAGGGTTGCCTATCAATTACGGTATCATTCCTTGTCCTTGATAACATTCGTGTAACGTGAATACCCTACACGAGCTTCCTGCATTGATTGGTCCAAACAGGGAAAGTACAGCAGCTCTCGATACTTCGACGACTCACCGAACACATCCAATCAACCGTCATGGCCTCCAGCTCGAAACGGCCTGTTATAGCAGTGAATAAATCGGTTTTGACACCGGTGATAACCTTGAAGGGACATGAACCAAAATCGTACTCCTTTGAAGATGATCCTCATCACACCGAGGTCAAATATGTTCCATACATTTCCTATTTTCCCAATGGCAAGCAAATGATTAGCGGATCAGTGGATAAGACGATTCGGCAATGGGACCTGCGGGAGGATAAGGAGATCAAGGAAGCTCAGCAAGTTTGCGAGCATGGTGTATTGGGAGTGAGGGTATCAAGGGATGGTCGATGGGTCGTCACTGCAGTTGATTGGGTGCTCAAAGTGTGCGAGGTTGAGACAGGGGTCGTGAGGATATTTGATGCAGGCGTTGGCAATCAGATCTGCCACATGGATATCTCGGCGGACAGCACGTTGCTGGTGGGTGGGTCAAGGCCCACCGATGGGACAGCGGTCACAGCGCAGATATGGAGCTTGGTCACAGGCCAAATCGTGGCTGGTCCATTCAAAGTTGGTGCCATTGATGCAGAAGTTCGACTCTCGGAAGCTGGCGGTGATATCATTGGATTCCGGGTCCAAGAAGCAATGCCTTCAGGTGTGGGACGTCCAGGCACAGAAATTGGCTGTCACTAGAGAAATGTGTAATAACCCTGTGTTTCCTTCACCGGTAATTTGGACAAAAGGGAAATCCATCATAGCCACATCCAGTCCAGATCTCACATCATATGACACAATCTATGAGTTTGACGCGTCGACGCTCAAGACTGTCGGAGATCCATTCCAAGGCCACACACGCCACATCCGCAGCCTAGCACTCTCATTTAATTGTCTTCTTCTCGCCAGTGCTTCCTACGACCGCACCATCAAGCTCTGGTCCTTTGAGTCCCGCCAACTCCTTGCCTCATTCGACGGCCAAAGCCCCTGTTCCCTTATCCTCTCACCTGACTCATGCCAACTTGCTTACACCACATTTGAAGAGCCCAACATATATGTATGAGACATTCCAGCCAACATCCTCGCTAGTATCAGACTCGCAAAAGAGGTATGTATTCACCCATTCATAGCAGTATTTTGCATACTAAAATATCTTCTAGACCAGCGGACACCTCACTAAGCTACTCAACGTACGTGATCCTGCTATTTTACTCATCTACACCACTTCATTCTCTATCCCAGTCTGACGCAACACGTCATCCCGTGCGCCGTAAACCACCAACATCGGTCATACCTCCTGCCCCCCGCCCAGTAGCAGTTACACGTCAACCCTCGCAACCCATCTTCCTCGGCTTTTTGCGCAAATTCCTCCTTTCCTCTCGTACGGACACAGTTCGTCCTATTCGGATAAATGAGCCCCGTAATCCCTTGGATGTATGTTTCTTTCATCTGTATTATTCACAGTTGACTTGATGGTTTCCTTGCAGTTCCCCGCTACAGGACCCTTGCCTCGCTCAATTGTAGATCACCACGACAATGTGAGCGAGGACCGCCATCATCACATATTCTACTTACAATTGTTTTTTAGTTTCTCCCACCCACCATTCAATCCTCTTCCCCTACTTCCACATCCATCAAATCCCTCCTACGCAGCCTGTCAACCTGGCGGCCCCTTCAGACAGGTCATGGATCGCCGGCTATCGTCGATACTCCTCTTGCACATGGTGTAGAGGTATGCGCAGTCCATTTCTCTTGCTTCTCGGTGCTCAAGCGCTCATACATCAATTTTTAGCGGAACGTTGCAGCAGGTGGCACACGCCGCAGAGATGATGAATGGATACCTGATGAAGATTATGTCTCTTCTCCTCCTTCACCTAATCCAGATTCGCAACAGCAGACCACGGCAGGGCAAGTCAATACCAGTACGGGAGAGCATGGGAGCGGTCGGTTTTGTTTTTGCTTTTAGGTTGACTTTGCAACTGGTGCCGTTTCGAGTCCATCATGGACATCTCGCTCATTAGAACCTGCTTGTATGCATAGTGTATTTTTACAGGACGTAAGGGATATCATATTGCATTTCTGTTTGCATGCAACGCAGTCTTGAGCAAGTACATCCAAAGACATCTCAGGGCGAGTCATGAGACGAACATCACATCTGAGATTTGAGCGCTTTTGAGCGTTCAAACCGATATCATTGGCTTATCTTTTAGGCAGAGCACGTCATTTCGCGTCGAACGAGTTCGACTTGAATTTCATTTTCGTCCATTTACTCGAACATATTCATATCCACCCGATACTACAAAAATACAATTGATTTTCATATGAAGTCGTGCTCATCTGACTACACGTCGCAAGATGCCCCTTCCACAAATCCTGACTTGCTTGTCGACGGTCTGTCAAGATTCCCATTTCTGTACACAGAGGCACTGTCTTTATGAGTGAATTGGGAGATATATACCTGCAAAGGCTTCAGGGGATAATGCCGCGAGTTCTCTTTATCGTTCTCACTGCCAGTAGTCGACCCATGACGGACAGTCAAAATGTGACAGTGAGAATTTTTACCCATCGCGATACGAATGATCACCATGTAGAAAGTAACAGAGATGATAGGCGTAAGCTGGTCGATCAAAGGTCAGTACATTTCGATGATGTATGTTATCGGTGAACTCACCACGTTTTCCAGATGCGATATGCCAGTAATCCTATACAAATTCAGGTCAGTATAAAAGTATGATGCCACGCACAGGCAGAAGCTCGCTTACCTGAACTCAGCAAATTAGTGGCAAGTATCGAGGCATAAAACACGAAGACCCATTCGCAAGCCGCTTGGCTGAAGACGTGTTTGGAGATGCTGGTTGTATGTGAAAGACTGTAGATCGGATATACACTAGTCGCTTTGAGACGACATCAGAGCATGCGAGTCGTTGAATATATTTGAAACCTGCGATACCGCACCAGTGTGCTGGGTAGGATCATAATCCAGACGGTTTGCCAAACGATGTAATAACGATAAATCTTGATCCATAAAGCATATCTATCAATTTCAAAACGGCAAATATGCAGTTGAACTCGCCACCACCCCATCACCGAGTAGGGTTTGCAAAACGAATATCGCGCCAGTGGTCCTATAGGTTCCTCGGGAGAAAGATGCCTTTGGCCCGTCATGGAATGTGTCGTGGCACTGCGCTAGTCCTTCAGTTTGAATAATACCCACATCCATGTGCTTGGAGGAAACATCATACAACAAGTGAAGAAGCTAACCGCAGTGCTCATTACCAACAGCAAGAGGGCCACAGCAGTGATCGGACGATTGACGTCGTACATGTGACGTTTGTATGTCAGCGCCTAGATGGTGCCAATAAACATGAGGACAGAAAAGCCTGAAGAACGCTATCTTGGTGAGTATTGGATGACGAGCACATTCGTACTGACCGTATAAAATGCCTCGCGCAATTGTAGACCATATTCTTATTCCTGTGGGAAAAAAACTTGGTAAGAAAATCACAAATCATGCGTTTAGACAAACATGCTTGGTGACTTGTGTACTGCATATAGCTCGCAGCTGCTTTCTCGGCTGTCAGTACTTACCCATTCCTGTGTGCACTTAAGATTAGATCACGATTGGACGATAAGGGAGTTCCACTGTACTGGATTGGTGTGAAGGCTTTAATATCTTGATGCAGCTTCTGATTAGTTATTAATATTAATCGTGGATTGTAGGAAGAGGGCGCTTGATGTGTAGAATATATATCCTGTAGAATAAAAGCGTTGGAAACGTTGAGTTCTAGTAAGTACTCGATTTCGCTTGAACTGACAGGTGTGCATGGCGTGCTATCGAATATGTTGTGTTGGGCGGTCTATAATTCTGGAAATTCCTCTGTAATAGTGCTTTTTGCTTCTCGAGTCTAATAGGTTGACGTCCTGGAAGGTCCAAGTGGAGATTATGGGACCAATATCACCTCCTTCCATCTCTCGTCACCCGAATCCTGTTTAACGAACTTTGTCCTCCGGTTAGGCATAACTCCGAGTTCGATATAGTCGACTTCGATGGGGTCAATCAGAACTAACGCAAAGTTTCCTCGGGCTTGTTCATAATTCTTAGCGTCATACCCTTCCTCTCCGGGTTTCGCAACTTTGACAGGCCACTTTTCCGCATCGCTGTAAGATTCCATGGGGGAACCAGGAACAGGCCGGCACCAGGATGCGCGCATGTGCGCACCGACGTTATCAAACTGCCTCTGTCGCTCCCGCTCCCAATCCCACCCCTGACTCCGGAATGCATCGTACACCTCTCCTACGCCCTCGATTCCTTTATTCTCCTGAAGTTCGGGTGAGGGGTATATAGCTGCACGCCCAGAGACGCGGAATTGCTCGTTGGTGGCTTTGATCCAAAAGAGCGCTTCTACGCGATGGTTAGGGTTGGACTCGATCTGAGTAACTTTCGGGGTACGGATGTCTGTGGTTGTGAGAAGTAGGGGTAGAGAAGGGAAGTATGGATGGATAATGTGGTCTCTGATGATGTGGCTGCGGACGTGCGGAGCAGTGTTGTTGGCGTTGGTAGTTGCGAGCTGAAAGACTGGTCCGAACGATGATATTGGCCTGTGTTTCGTTAGGATGGTTAAAAGCTCACCGTTTTTCACGCCTTCTTCACTCTGCAGAGCGAGCTTGAGAGCGTTGTGCCAGCGTGCGCTGCGAGCAGCCATGATAAATAATCCGAGTGTACTTCTGAAAGAACGGTCAAGTTAGTGACCGTGACGGTAATATCCAGCTAGGCATTGGCTAGGCAATTAATGAATTCATTTAATATTCACTTACATATGCTACAAGACTTGAACTTGAACCTTGACGACGCCAGACCTAACTTGAACCTGCAAGGACCGCCGTACGATTCGGACCAAGCCCCCTCAACTTTTCCTACATAACTTGTGGTATCTGGCAGGAGCAGCATTACGTCCTCCTACAGTTCTCACGGCTAGGACTCGGACAAGTACTGATGCATGAGCCGAGTCCCTTGCGGTGAGAATGCGCCTATCTGAAATGCATTGCCCGTCTGGCGTCTGGATCCTGTCACAAGCCCGTACTTATGATTCCTCCCTTTAATAGTGCAGGTGAGTATCGTATCTCGCTTTTATGTTGACTTATCGTATTCAAGCAGTTCTCGGGTGATCCTGAAGGGTTTACACTACTACCTAGTGATGGTGGTGCTCCAACGAGTGGTACTATTGCCAGTTACCGTCCGGTATCCACACATACTACTTTGGCCCTTGTTGGGATTATTGGAGGAATTTCTCTTGGAATTTTGGCTATCTGGCTATTGGTCATCCGCACATGCAAACGAGTCAAAGTGAACGTCGCACCCGACAGAACCTCTGAATCCTCACCTCTTCTAGTTCGATATCAAGCACCGACCAATCTTCAGGTGGGGAGCTCAATAAAATTTATCTATGCCCAGTGCACTGGACTGATTAAAGAGGATGACTAGACTTATACTGTCCCATTAGAAAACGACATATTACTTTGTTCCGTCTGTGCAAAGCTAGATTTCTACAGGATCATCCTTTATGGCATCCACGAGCTGGAGCCGATTCCGCTCGGTTTATTGTCATCTATCCTCGAAAAATCTTATCAATGCAGTTTCTGCCGCCTCATATCATTGTATGTCCGTCGAACACGGATTATGGAGGACTTTCCTCACATCGATCTCTCAGAGATTGAATGCGGGTTGTACACGATGTTTTGCGGTGCTCTTCGAAGGGGACCTTATCCCCCACTCCGTTATAGTCGCCGCCTCTGCGTCACTGGGAATGGCCTCTGGCAGACGCATCCCGCTTTCAGGGCAGCGGATTCGCTAATCATTCATCTCATGCAAGAAGATGCTTTCAAGTTTGGGAGGCCGGTCGATCTTCATGGTCGCAGGATGAAGAATACGGTGGATATCGGTCTGGTGAAGAAGTGGATCAAGTTGTGTCAGGAGAACCATGGAGATAAATGTCGGAATGTTTGGAGAATGGACAGGAACCTACCGGGGTTCGTGAGAGTGGTGGACGTAGTATCGATGGCTGTGATCCCTGCACCTTCTCACCGCTTTCGTTACATCGCGCTCAGTTACGTATGGGGAGGCAACGGCGCAGAGTATTGGACGACGAAGGATAATATAGCAAAGCGCTCCATGCCTGGCGGATTAAATGCGGCAAACCTCCCTGACACCATCACAGACTCGATTTCATTCGTTCGACAGCTTGGTGAACGTTACATATGGATCGACGCTCTATGCATCATTCAAGATGATTCGCAGGACAAGGTCAGTCAGCTGCACGCTATGGATTTGGTCTACGGCCTGTCTTATTTCACATTAATTGCTGCTGGCGGCAAAACAGCTCGAGATCCTCTTCCAGGGTGCCGTCCACGAACTAGAACACCACACATTGAAGTCGTTCAAGGACTTCATCTTTTTGTGACTCCTCCAACAATTGCAAAGGCTCTCGAACTGTCCGCTTGGATTACGCGTTGTTGGACTTATCAAGAAAGCGCGCTGTCCTGCCGAAGGATATCCTTCACTGAGCAGCAGGTCTACTTTGAGTGCCGATGTCAGGTTTTCTGCGAAAACATCGTCGCAGAAAGCAAGGCCGACTATTCCACCAGCTTTTTTAGATATCCACGAGGAGAATATTTCCCATTCTCAACCGACTCCTTCGAAAGTTACAAGCATGCCGTAGAGAGGTGTACACGACGCAATCTCACCGACGAATCAGACATTGTCGATTCTCTCACTGGAGTGACAAATGCCTTGGTGGTAGCATTTGGACTCGGCGACCCCGCGAAAGCTTTTCAATATGGAATGATGTTAACGGAGCTGCATCGCGCACTTCTCTGGCAACACGATCCATTTACACCTCGTGTTCGTCGTTCGCTTGCTGAAGGGTGTGACTCGTCTTGGCCTTCTTGGGCATGGGCGACGTGGCACGGTGCTGTTATCCACATGTCACGGGGTGTGTATAGGCAGACTCGGATTGCTAGTTATAGCAGCGAAGCGTCGGTGGATGAGACGTTTATTGATGCTTGGTACATCGTGGACCACGGTGGCGATATAGTGCTGCTCGATGTTCGGAGGGTTTCACGAGTTTATTGGATAGAGGAAGAACAGCCCCCGTATTCCTCTCCGGGAGGAATATTGGACCCAACAGAGATGCCACTGGACATTCATCGACCACTAAAACCAGGCACTCTCATTTTCCGCACGACTTCCAGCCAATTTGACATTACCAGGCGAGGTGGTGAATCAAACGGAGAATCAAGTCCTGCAGATCACTATGGTCTCTTTAATATTCTCTCCGCTACGTCTTCTCCGCCCACTTGGGTTGGTACTGTCATCCTGCCATTGAACCCTGCCCCGCCAAGTTCTATCGAGTTCATTGTGCTTTCCCGTTGTGATAGTGTTGACGGCTTGTACGATCAAGAGAGTCTTAAGGGTTACCGTGGGTGCTTACTACATGTGATGGCGGTTAGTGAGAATGAGGGCCTGATGGAACGTGTTGGGTTGGGCATCATTCATATCGTTGCCTGGGTTGCTTCAATGCCGGAGGAGAAGGTGGTGTTTCTTCGATAAAGGCTGGCAGTCGGATAGTTGAATTTGACCTCTGTTGTTTAAAGCGAGAATTCACTTTCTTAATGGTTACCAGGGTTATACAGACTAGCTTCAAGTATTCCCTGTGTTGATCGTGATAGGCTGTTACTCATCGCCGTTACAGCTTGCGCCCCGACAACGCTTTTAATTGATTATGTTTTGCCTCGTACGCTGTTGCGGGTCAATGATGTGTTGCTGTCATCCCTAATTGGCAATAGTGTCGAACCGGTGAAAATCAACATGTATCGAGTCGTGGAAAAGAACAGCAGATCTTTTTGGTGATGGGAAATTGTTTGGAACCGTCCTCCAAGTACAAAGGTTGGATGTCGAGGAAGAGACCGGGGGTCTGCCAAGTACGCCTGCATCTATGTAAATACATAACCGTAGGTATCTTAACATGTAACCCCTTCTAAGAAACAGGAAATATGAGATAATAAGACTTAGTCGCATCGTGTTGTTAACTTGTTATATTACATTTTTATGTTCTTCAGCCGACTCGTGCCCTCTTTGCGGCTCCGCCATCCTCTTCCTCCTCCTCTTCGTCTCCTTCGCTGATTTCGTCCGCATAACGTTTCAAGCCGCCAGCAGAAGTGGGAGGCTCTTCTTCGTCTTCCTCGAAATACTCGTCGTCGTCCTCGGCGTCCTCGTCCTCAGCAGCAGCTGAGACTGACGTCCCATTCTGGAAGAATTGCATGGGTTTTCTGTGGAGAAAGAAAATGATGTATACGTACCTCGCCAACCAGTAGCGCCGTCAAACTTGGTTTGCTCTGTACCGATAACTCAACATTCTGCAAGAGGCGACCGACCGGGATTAAACATACCTTTGATGCGGGACCTCCTTCCTCTCCCTCCTCATCTTCATCGTCTTCTTCAGCTCCAACTGGGTGGGACGAGTCGCCTTGCTCTTCTTCTTCGCCCTGCGTTCATAAAACATTGACAGCGCAATTAAAAAGGAGGTAGACACAAGAGCGAGTTTAGATGCAATATAAAAAGTATCAAAAGAATAATATGCAAACCTCAACTTCATATTCATCGCTCTCCTCGCCTTCGTCAACCTCCTCTGGCTCTTCTCCGGGGACCGTAGGCTCTAGCGTGGGGTCAGGGGACATTTTTTGGGCTGTAAAAATGTATGACGCAGAGCCTCAAGGGATTGTGTTCGATGTTGGTTGAAATTGAACCAGCTGTGAAGGGGGAAGCGAGAAGAAGATTAGCGCCATGGTGACATAGCGAAATGATGGGTTCTCACCCCAGGGTAGGTAGCTGACGAACGTTTGGTCCTGTGCTCAACACGTCGCACGCTTAGAAAAGGTCGCCGTCCCAGGGGGATTGCTGTCTTTGGATGAGGCGGGAGGTCGCTGAGTGGGGGGTCGTTCACATCAGATGACCATGTGCTAAATTTTCTATCTGAGTGTAAATCGTTTATTCTGATCTCCATCTAGGACATCGCGCAATACCCCGAGGTCACCTGCCAGAGCCCTCAAAGACTGATCTTGTCAGCGCCCGCCGGACTCGGGGTATGATCGATCTTTATCAGCTTATGTGAAATTAAATTAAATGGTTTAACATTAGCCTTCAAATCTTGACTCTGGGTCCATTGAATGGATTAACCGCCTCTGACGTCAGGCGCTTCGTCAGCTATCCGAAATTTGTTAGGAGTCGTTTCATGGTTATCTGGTAGAGCCCCTGTATGTTAGATTGGTCATACTACTATACAGGGGCTCTCATTTAAGACGACCGTCTCCCTTCATTCCTTCAACGTTCGAACATTCAATCACTCAAGCAACCTTAACATGGCTCTCAGAATCGTCCGATGGTGTGTCTTGGGTGCGTCGTTATTTCTTCGCACCTCGCAGACTAGCTCATCTTCATCGCAGTGTTAACACTCATGTTTGCGATCGTGGTGCTTGGCATAAGTGCCCACCTCATCGCCATCAGACCTACAGACTACTGGCGGTTTGCTGCCCTTGCAGTCGCAGTCTCCTCTCTGACAATTTTGACATTGCCTGTCATGTGCGTTTTCTTCCCATTTGGCCGGACCAACACTAATTTACAGTCTCAAATTTCAGTCTCATAGTTAATTCCTTCTCAGGCGGTAGTTCACCAGAACGAGTCATGGGCGAGGCTCTTTGGATAGGTATGTACTTTCCGACTCTTCATTCTTGATAATTACCAAAGGCTTCGTTTGTTTTCAAGCCATCTTGTGGATTTTGTGGCTCTCAACTGGAGCCAACTCCACTCGTGCTGCTCGCTCAACTTTCTTCTCTGGTGCTTGTAGTTTCTGTAGGTGCCATATCTTCAGAGCAGGGGCGCTTTTTGATCGTGTTATCTTCGCATTCGCTTCTCAGTCACTGGCTACCCCAACAAGATCTGCAATGAATTCAAGGTCGTGGAGGGCTTTTCTTATATGATCTTCATCATCCGTGCGTCTTTTCCCTTCTCATTTTCTGTTTCTGAAGACGTGATTTCAGTGCTATGCTACATGATCGGGTTGATGGTGTGCGCGTTTATGCGCGACGATGATCACGACGGGCGTGCTCCTCAAACCTCTCAGGTGAAAGCCGCCGACCCGGAAGGTTAGTAACAGCATCTTGCTATAGCAGGGCATGTAACTGATATTACTTGCGCATTATTAACAGCCACCAGCCGGTGAATTGTCAAATATTGAGTTTGCTGAGCATTGCGTGTGAATTGGCTCGCATCGTAGTTTCCCTTTATGTTCTGAAAATCAATACTCTAATTTTTACATCCATAGTCATCGTTAATGTTACATATTTGTACGCCGTGATGCGAGTGCCTCTCATTGTGATAATGCAACGTGTGAGTATGTACTTTAATCCACAGTCAGAGATTTACGCTTGAGTCAATGCGATGAGTGAGACATTTTAGATTTTGAACTCCTCACAAGAGCGCTTGAGTTGTCTTTTTGGTGGTGCCAAAGTAGGTGCAGCACAAACAAGTGTCAAGAGACGCGGCTCATTCTGCCAAGCCACCGACTTCATTTGTTGGTATTTCTTATCAAGATGACCAGTGATCACCCGAAGTTCTCTCGTCTTGTCACCTGCAAACCCCCAAGGTTCTGGCCCTTCTGGGAGATTTAGAGTTATCTGATCGAAGCTTTTTCACCTCCGGAATCTGTTTATCGCGGTGATGCAATGCTAACGTTTTTCTGCTTCTAGTGCGCAGGACTAGGAATCTCAGTATGCCGCTGATCAAAGAGACGGCCTCGTGCTTGTCACGTTGGTCAATCAACGTTAAACTTATCAGCAATGGCACTAGGCCAGTTTAGCACTCGCTTGAAGACAACATGATAATCTGGCCAACTAGTCGTACGATTATGAGGGAATGCTGCAACGAGGTACGACATCAGAAAGCACTTTTTCTGCCTCGTGTTGCATGCGCTATCAGGCTGACCTACTATCTTCCTATAGAACGGTACACGGGAAAGTCGGAACTCTCTACGATGGCGACACGACTTTCCCGTCGCACGTTTCAGACGGATTACTCCGTGATGACTCTTCTTTGAACACGTTTGTGCTAGCTCCAGGCGTTATTGTCTCGTCGTACACATCGATAGAACATCTACGACTATCATGGAAGTATGCATGCATTGCGCCAGTGGCTGGTTTTTATACCGCCTGCATCTTTTGGACCATTGAGCTGTATTAGGTGTCTATGCCGAGCGCTGATTGGACGAGTGGTACCCCTTGCACAGCACGTCACGACAGCAACTGTGTTGTAATGTGCCACGACTGCTTTCGTATTGCTGCGTTATCAGCTACGATTGAGCTATTTGTTACGTGGGTCGGTACCAGTGCTGCACAGTAGCATACAGCTCAGATCGCATTCTAGTGCGTATTTTGCTAGGTCCGAGGGAACATGCAGTGACGCTTTTAGCAGCCTATCGCCGACGGCATGCGCAGCAGTTCATTATTGAGATACCGAGAACCTTTCGCATGAGCATGATCTACGAGTCTAGATTTTGCCATGAATTAGATGACTCACGATGTTGTCGAGGATTTTGATTCTTCAACGATATGAGGATCAGTGTCCCGCGCCACACAGATCAAATCCTGTTCATACGGGGTAAAACTAAGTTATCAACTGGTCCCATTTCGTTCAAGGACTGATCACGTACATTAGATGGCTTGTGATCTGTGTAGCAAGAGCTGTGCGTCTCGCACAGGAATAATAACCTTGAACCAGAGCACCACGAGAGAATATGCCCGATGTGAATATGATACTAATTTGTCATGTTACAGTTCGGTCTCACTCATGAGCTGGAAGGAACTGGATTCCTCACCGTGCGTTCGCAAACATCCGTGATTCTGTTATCTCCAAGGTGATTTCAGTATCAGTTCTCAGCGACTGGGGCCACTAGTTCGGATGGGCCTGGAGACCAGGTTGGTTCACTTCCATGGGCGGTCCCGTTCTGGCGTTGTACTTGCTTTGAGGCTAGATATAATTAGGGAAAGGTTCTAGGAAGCAATATAAAATAAATAGAAGAAACGGAGAAGGGAGACAAAACGGAGAGATGTTTCTGAGTTACGGCAAACTTTCGAGCAATTAATTGTGACCAAGCAAGGCCAGACAAAACGACTTGAACGAACCCATCAACCAAGCGAACTAAATCCTACAGCAACAAATCCTTTTTTCACTCCAAGTCAATCATATTCATTGACTCAGTCTTTCGTTAATACTTTATAATCCTGCTTTTCTTATACTCTCACAAGTGCTGTTATTTGCGTTTCCAGTAACCTGGCAGCTTGCGGTTAAGTGTCACTGCACAGCTAGCCTCGAGGCAGAATCTGAACTCAGTTCATATCTGGCAGCTTTTCAACCGTAACCTTGATCAAGGTCCCGCAGTATTAACTGCCAGTAATCTCTGTCAAGTCAGTACCAAAATCATTGATTGTCAGTACCTTGGCCTCACAGAACGGCATCGTTGACCGAAACACATATTTTCATTTCCCCCGTGTTCACCTCGTGGCCTTTCACGCCAACGCCGCGCGACGATTACCCATAATATCTCCCGCCCTAATTAATCGATCTCTCAACTGTCACAGAATCCAATTCCCTTTGTCATCTGCTCTTCTCTCTCTTGCACCTTCACTCCCACATACTCTTTGTTCGCCGGAAGTCACATACCCAACCCACAACCTTCCATTCCGATTCACCCAGGACTTTAGAGAGACGGCTTGCTTATCCCTCTTCTCGTAAACCTCGCCAATTTTTATTCCCGCGGATGCCTGGTGTAGCCGCCACCTTTCATCAGCGCGGTGCTTCAAAGAAAAACTTCAAATCTGTCCTTGGCTTCGGGTCTTTCAACCGAAGCCGTTCTTCTGTTGACTCTTACCTTCCCCGTCAACCTACAACTAGAGTCAGCATCGATACCACAAGAAGTTTTCAATACAAGCGCAAATCCCGCCAAGAACGTGCAAGTGCAACCGACGCCTCCTCTGATTCACTCTCAAGTTCCCCCCACGCACATCAGGAGCATAGTCAGAACCACAAACACGACCCCAATAACTCCGTCCGCAGTATGAAGTCCATAGACGCCGCTCATACCCGTCCTCTTAGAAGACCACCGGTCAGGATTGATGCTCAGGAAGGTCCCTGGAGCGTCAGCGTCGCTGAGACTCCAAATGATGCACACTCGTATAGCATTTACATAAAGAGTGAGTTTCGCATTTTTTTGCTCCACCCTTTCTCCGCCATGTTGGAGTTTGTTCATTACCAATGCATTTGGATTTTCGTCGGGCTTCCGAGGTAGCCGGGTTGCCATTCTGTGCGCACTCGACAGTGCCATGTGATCGCCGTCCAGCGTTTTATATCCTGAGGCCCCATTAATTCCTGCCACATGTCTTTAACAAACGAACCTGCTAATGATATTCTTTCTTCCGCAGCCTCCACACACAACCTCACCTTGACTCGCACTGCCACAGAGGTCGTCGAGTTGCACGTCAAGCTTGCAGACTCCGTCCCAGGCACAAGACTTCCCAAGTTGCCCATAGACTCGGCGGCCCAGCCCATGAAGCGAAATATTTTCCTCAACACGTTGTCCCGCCTTGCCTCACCAAGCAACAAAGTTGCGCGCACGGTATCTACACGTATTGCCAGCGCCAGTTCCATCACTCCCATCGTTTCGCCCACACACGAGATTGGCGATCCTTTTACAGAGGCGGGCACCACAGGTTCAGGGGGCAACATAGTCACGAGCCTTGCTGCATATCTCACCACCATCTCAAATGAACCAACGTTCCGACAGGCCCGCGCATGGAAGCGTTTTGTACGTGTGCGCACCGATGACCTCGAGAGCGTGCGTGTAGAGCGCGCAATCAAGCGTGTGCGCTCTGATCTGGCAGCACATGGGAGCTCCAAAGTTACCGCGGACAACAGCTCTGGCAACGTCAGCGAGATTGAGGTGGATGGTGTCAATGGTGCTTCGAGTGAAGTCAACCCGAACGATTTTGCTGTCCCTGATTTGAGAGAGGAGGGGATTAAAGAGGAAGAAGAGGATGTTGAGTCTACTCCTGTTCAGGTCGAGGATCTAGCTCCTGTTGCTGATGAGGCTCCTCTTACTGAAGCGCCTGAGGACATCGTGGTTGTGGATGAGGCAGTTGCTACACCCGTAGAGGCAGAACTTGCAGCTCCTAAGCCAACCGATGGAGAAGAGACAGTCGTATCTACTCCTGTCGCAGAGGTCCAAGCTTCCCGGATACTTCGTTCCCACTCTGCCGATCCCGATAAAGCTAGCCGTTTGTCGCGAGTATACACCTCCTCGACACTGCAGGAAGGCACGAGTTCCCAAACTGGCGATGACTCCTCGATCAGCACCAACACTGGGCGGCGTAAGAATCGCGCCAAGTCAAGTGACCCGCATAAAGAACTCAAGAAACGCTCAAAGCGCAAAGTTGTCATTGATGACTTTGAGATGATGCGTGTCCTTGGAAAGGGGTGTGCAGGCAAGGTCTTGCTTGTAAGACACAAGACAAGTTCGGATCTGTATGCCCTGAAGGCGATCACGAAGCGTCATGTATTGGCACATCAGGAACTGCAGCACACGTTGACCGAACAAGCTGTGCTCAAACGAATGGCAGCAGAGTCGAAAGACCCATTCGTTGTCAAGCTGTGGTGGAGTTTTCATGATAAGGAGAATCTATTTTTAGTCATGGTATGCTTCTTCATAGAAGTGCGCAACACTGCACGTTAATGTCATTTTCTTTTAGGATTTCCATCCAGGCGGTGACCTTGCCACGCAACTTGCACGTTGGGGTAGACTAGGTCGGGACCGTGCTCGGTTTTATGCCGCGGAGATAGTTGAAGGTGTCGAAGGCCTGCACGCGGCAGGCGTCATCTACCGCGATCTCAAACCTGAAAATATCCTTATTGGTGCAGACGGGCACATCGTACTGACAGACTTTGGCCTCTCAAAAGAGTTCCCACGCCGTGTGGCTGCAACAACTGCGCCTCCTACCCCCACACGAGGCGAATTCTACTCAGCTCCAAGCAGTGAACCTGCGACGCCGCCTTGGATGAAGGGCGAGAAGAGCCAGGACGTTGTGATGGGATGGCATGGGCAGACTGTTGGCCCTATGGACGCGACAACGACTTTTTGTGGCACAGCAGAGTATTTGGCTCCAGAGGTGATCCAAGGACTGCCATACAGCTACGAGGTCGACTGGTGGAGTTTTGGCACCATGCTTTATGAGATGTTGACGGGAATTGTAAGTGCCGTGGCTTGAATCTCCAACGGTTGCTCATATGCGCAATAGACGCCATTCTGGGCGAATAACCACTCCGACATGTATGTCAGGGTCCTACAGGATGAGCTGCAATTCCCTGAGGATAGGGCGATTGACCAAGATACCAAGAGCTTGATTAGAGGGGTAAGTAATACTTCCTGTCCATGACCACAAGTCATTTATATTTGCCCCCACATAGCTCT